CGTTTGTCGAAATGAATCATCTTGAAACAAGAGTATGAATAAATTGAAGATGTGATTATCTTACCTATTTACCCATGTCACATATTGTTCAAGTTTCGGAGTGGTCGCAACAGTGAAGTTTCATTTGCTTGACTCCATTATCGCGGTTCCTGATACCAGGAGATTATGCAGTTTCGGGTTGTACTGTCCGTTTGATACTTACATACTGCTGTCCCTCATAACGAGCATTCGTTTGTGGATAGTGCTGACAGTGACCCACCCCCACTGGAAATTTGAAGGGTCTTGCGACATTTCGTTTGAGAACCAGGTATGATCACTCTAGGGATGTAATAACCTGGAGATGAACGCTTCACGTTGCTGTATGTATCGTTTCAAAGGTGATTTCATGCCAACTCCTAAACAGATTGCCAACATAATGTTCAGTCTGCCGTAGTATATTGTTTTGGCTGCGTACAGCAACCTGCGTCTCAGCGGACCCAGTGCCATAGTCGCAATTTCAATCGTCAACTCTGATCCCCCCCCCTAACTTTTGCGACTGCCATTAAGAGGAATTCAGAACCTCCGTCAGAATGCCGAGTTAATAAAGTGATCTAAATGGAACTAGATAAAGTGCTGTTTATAACCACCAATGAAATTTATGGCAGTGAAAAATCACTTGAAACCAGTAGATGACCAACTATAGGAAATCCACTCAAAAGGTATACTGGGTCAGTCCAACCAAGTGTTTTATTTGCAGCAGATACGTGACAAGCTCACGTTTATGGGTCCTGAAAATACCCAAGATCTAACAAAAAGCAGGAAAGTAACTTCCTTTGCGATGCGTGCGCATACAGTGAGACAATTCGCTTTTCACTTCCACTACAGCTCTCTCTCTCTCTCTCTCTCATCACTAAGCTCCTTTCTAAATCTCTTTCTCCTTGTTTGAATTCCATCACAAATTTCGGACTCAGATACAGCAAACTGTCATAACGTCGTGATTTAGATATTACCAATTCATTGATTTATGAAAGTTTAGCCTGTCTATGCGCGTTTTGAATGAAGCGTTACTATACACATATGAACCAAGTGTACCATTCAGGTTTTCTCGTTAGTAATTTTCAGTCTTCAGTAGCTTGAAGTCACCCTTAAATATTACCGAATAATCGCTTACTAGTTTCTCGTCCGTTTTCTCATCATTTAAGCTTACATACATTCATATGTATGCAAACTTCTAGCGGCCTAACCATTAATAGTAAGGGATTCCTTTAATATTTTACCAATGGAGATTAAAAGTCCTTTAAAACTTTTCATGTGGCTTGTATATATGAGCAAGGATCATCAGTATTCTACAGCCATCACGATGAATCTTCTACTAACCTAGCCAGCGCCACTTATAACCCAACACTTGTTTTTTGTCTGCATAACGCTCCTTCGCTGTTAGTCCATGATTATTTCAACTAGGAACAAACAGTTGTTACCAAATTTTCGCTCTAGTAGTTTTTCTTTACACAGTCAGCGTTCTTAACAGTACACTCCTATGTTGATACATTTATTTTGTAAGTGCACACACTAGGGAAGAACTATGATATCCAAGTAGCTTTTCAGGCAAGAGAACGATTGAGTGTTTCCATCTTTGAGCTGCTACCAAAGTCTTCAGATGTCAATGAGTGTAAGATTGTTTATCTCTGGTTTTCAGTAGGGAAACAACGTTTATGAAGTGATGTGGTTTTTCGAGGTTTTTCCTCGAATAAAAAGTATCAGCGATGAGGACATTCATTTATATAATTACTTAAAAATAAACCACCAGGACTGTGATATAGATGTGAATAAGCCTTCAATTGGTCGCCTGTCAGGTCTAAATTATTTGCATAAATTCCTGAGGATTTAGAGTTGGAGAATGTTAAGAGAACATGAGCTTCATTACACTGAATACTAGTTCGATTTCGAAGTTTTAAAGTTAAAAACTGAGTCGTAAGCAACGCCAGGGTTTGAAATGAGGTTGCACTCGCTGTCTGTTTGCTGCTATATGGTGTAATCTATACTTTAAAATTTCTTCGAGTTAAGTGGTAGGGTTTAAGAAGTTATCATAATGGTTGTTTGTGTGTAATTTAATTCGTAATCATTCTCCAGTGAGAACTTCTCGTCTTTAATTTTATCCTTTATATGGAATGCAGGCATGTAAAAATCCCTCAGAATTGCCTGACAGTGTAAGACGAAAATACGATGAATAATTATCTCCCATTCAGTGGAAACCACCATCGTTAAAATATGGCGTAAGCCCATCTGTGGCCGGCGACACTCTTTCAATAGTTCAAAGCTTTCCCGAATGACGTCATAGTCACCAACATGACTAGCTACTTCAAGGTGCTTTCCTAGTCATTCAAGGACGGCATAATTTTATAGTTCTGCTGTCTAGGCTGTAAGTAAGAGCAGCAAGTTTAGGTTGGTTAATACCAGAGATACTTAAGGACAGCGGCTATCATCAATACCAACATAAAAGCCGAACATTACTGCATGACGGTTCAAGTTGCCACACCTCATATCAGCACATACAGGAACAAAGCAATGAGTTGAAAGATAAAGAAAGTTTAAAAAATTTAGTCAAAACCAGTAGAAAGAAGAATGAAGGAGGAATGACAAAATGCTGAATTCAATACAGCGGTTAAGTTAGCGATAAAATGTGGATACATCTGCGCCACTGATATACATTCTGAGCCATATAACCCAGAGTTTCCAGCCATTGGTGTATGTTATCAGGTGTACCCCAACCCTCTAGTCTGCATCTGATTACATGGCTCAGACCAAGAGTCACACTTATTCTGGTTGCTCCGAACTTTTATCCAGCCTGAACCTAGTTCAAATAGGTAGAAGCAGACAGTAACTGGGCGCATGTAACACGTCTCCCAGCCATCTCAGGCAATGAACGATCAAGACCTTAACAACCGACTCTCCTCTCCTCCCCAAAGCTCTACACCTGACTTCTGCGCTACTCAAGTGGTGACACTACGACGTAACCTATGCTAGGAAGGGAACGGTGGTCAAACACCTGACTCCTGATGTCTTCCACCTTTGCTGGTCATATTCCACAGTCATACAGTAAAAGAGAACCGCAGTACAGTGCACTCATCCCTTAATTGGCAAAGCGATATCATGGTAGCGCTGCAGTTGGCGAGAGCTAGTCAAGCTTTTTGTACCTGTGAAGAGATTTCGTCGGCCGCTGATCTGGCTTCCCAAGTAGGTGAAGTAATCAGCATATTCAACCACTTCACTGTTTATTGTCAACCAGAGCATCTCTGAACACCAGTTCTGAAGCAACTATTTTGATTTGGGGGGCGAGAAACGCATCCTAAACATCCTCAAACTGCCACTCAAGGTGACCAAAAGACTGCATCTTTTCAAGGTCTTCACTCAACAGCACTGTCATCTGCATATTCCAGAACTACCGAAGATTCTCTTGTGATTAGATCAATCCCTTTGCTGTTAGATCTGTCCCGTTATACGGCTATGAGACATGGCCGTTACAACAGTAAAAACACGAAGCAATTACAGGGTTTCGATCATGTGTCCTCGTAGCACTGTTCGCGTTCGCTAAAACCACCGTGTGAGCACTGTTGAATTCAGGCAAGAAAGGCAAGTTGATTGATGAGGTTTTAAACCTTCATCGACGGAGATGGCTTAAACATGTATTACACATAACGAGTCACTGCTTCCTCAATGTGCCATGCTAGGAGAAGCTGGATTAAGTTGGGGGAAGACTAAGGGTGGTCAGACCAAGACTTGGCACCAGTCGATGAAGTCTCTTACTGTTGGTCTGCGTCGTGTGAGATGTAGACTGTGGTTGGGGTCTTCGAGACGAAAGGATTCAGTGGTCGAAGACACGAGGTGATATGGCTGAAAGTCAGTCACAATGGCGCAGATGTATTAACTTCTTGACATCTTCTGAAGTTTGAATGTTCGATCTAATTTTCATCTTCAGACTGTCTATTGTTTCACATAACTTTGTCTACTTTGATATCAGTCTGTTTCGACCCACCAGTTCTTTGTATACCACTGTAAAGTGTGATGACTTGAGCCGATGGAATTGTGTGTGAGGTTCTACGTTGATCTGGTTACTCAGTCACTTTAATGGAATGACCATGAACAAGGATGTGGTGTCAGTGTTACACTAAGCGCAAGAGTAGAAGCTACTTTCTCCAACTGATTTTGTCCCTCAGTCAGTCATATTTTCATTCTGCGTATCATGCTTACTTCCGCTATTGCTTTGGTCATTCTTTTTTTCGGCCTACGACTTTCTGTTTTTTGATTACTTCTGTTTTAGTATGTTTCATCTGTATGCATACTGTCATTAGTAGACTGAAATGTATTGTGAACTGTTGCGCAATAATTCTAGGTTCCATGTTGATACAGGTTGATAGAAGCCACCAAACGTCTATATAGTATTTAACCAGGTCTATACATTCGTGTAGCAGTAATCCAGTTGTTTAAGCAGCTGGTTTCAAAACTTTGGGTAGAGTATTATGATTCTGCCAAAACTGCTTAGGTGCAAGCAGACATCTAGTATCATAAGCCCCTGTGATAAACGATTCCTATTGCTTGATGAATAAATTTGCAATTTATTGCTTTATTCACTCGTCTTTAGCTTGCTCATTAACTAACTGTACTATGGCTAAAAAGGTTTAAAGGGGTTGACGATAATTCTTTTACACTTAATACGTATCGTTTGCCTACCAGGTAATGAAAGTTCTTGATTGGGTTTTGTTTCGCGTCGATAGTGCTATACTCAACCTCAGTTTTCACTTTATGATGTCGCACTTGGTGGTTGCACATGGTTTTATAAAACCACTACTTGTTTAATTATTTATATGTGTTAAAATGAAATGAAATCTTCTGTAAATTTGTCTTTAGGAAGCCTAACTAGTATCGTCAGCATTTACAAAATGTCTTCCAAGTGGTATTTTATTACTAAACTGCAATATAAATTTGATGGACGATGGTCCATTTTACCTAAAAATCTAATAGAGATGTCTCCTAAATATTCGACGCAACCATCACTTGGCGACAGTATTCTGGATGGTATACTATTACGCCGTATTAAAGAAACACCTACCAAAGAAACGAATGATGTACTTAGAGCTCGCCTACTGTATCAAAGCAGAAAGCGTGGGAACTTGGAGAACGGGATTCTGTTAAGGTACTCACTATATACGTATCTACGTTCGTAGAAAACTTAGATTGTGTGCTGTATTCTTCGTATTTCAGTTAACATAATTGTCTTTTATGTTGTATGGTAGTCTAAACTTCTGGAATTTAGGCTTGTCATATTTATGATTGTTGTTATTATTATGCTTTATTATTATTTGTTATTAAAATACGAACTTGATATGACACACACCACGGGATGTGCCATTTAAAATAATAAACCAACGTTATGAATCCGAAAAAACAAGGCAGAATGGAAACAAACTGCAATGCGTTATTTAGCAGACAGTTACAAAGATACATCTGAAGAAGTATTCAGTACCTCTGTTTTATTTTCAACGGTGAGAAGAAAGAGATCTGTAGCGTGGTCGCTGCTGATTTCGATCCTGAACCATGTCAGCTAACGTGTCGTGCCACTGGGTTGCATGGTCTTTCGAAAGCATCCAGAAAGTCATGAGCTAACCCACCACAAATATCCTTCATCCGACTGCGTGATGTCATACGCCGGCTGACTTTCCTCTCTTCCCAACCATTCTCATGACTAACAAACAATAAGTAGTATGAGAGCCACTGGGATGACATACCTAACGCATGTCCAAGTTATCTGAGACAGTACTTCAAGATGAACATTCTCAGTGAATGAATACTATCACACTCAAATACACATTGCCTCACTTAAGAATTATCTACATAGTGTTTGAACTGGCTGTGAGCAATCTCATGGGACAACGGTGGTTGAAAACGCAGAGTCATCGGAGGTCCTCAGCTTGGATAAGATAGGTTTCATAGGCGTAGAGTGAAACTGCGCTCACCGACGCGTTGTATACTCAATTTTTACAGCAAGGCTAGCGTCACAAAGAAGTTAAACGATGCCCGGAGTGACGTACGCCACTCTGGTTTTCAGTATATCGTAGAATATTTCATCAACCACACCGCCGGCGCTTACAAAACTACCTAGGTACATAGTTTTACGACGAATTTCAACGGTTCGCCACTAAGGATGAAGCGTGAACCACACAGATATTGATTACTGACTGACTGACTAAGTACGATTTAAGCAGTCTATATACGGTCGCACAGTCAAATGATATCATCCACACACTCAATGTTAAGAAGTCTTTTGCCTGATAACAGTTCTATGCCGCCACTGACATGCGTTTTGTTCAGGGCTGTCTCGAGGATGCTGTATAAGGCAAAAAGAAAAGAGAAGTGGTGAAATCGAACAGGCATGCCTAACCTCACTACTGGTTTGGAACAGTAGAGTAGTAACTGAAAGCCTCCACTCTACCTGAGGTTTTGAAGTCCAACGCTTCCAAGATGTTAACAGACTTCTAAGGGAAAACCCTTCCTAGCGAACAATTCTAGAATATTCCTCTGTCCAACAGATCGAAGACAAACTTAACTTCGAGGAATATAACGGTCGTTGACCTGCAATACGTATTACATTGACCAAACGTCTCGCCTATAGTGAACACGGGATTAATGCATACGGGATCTGAACGGAACTCATCTTTATCCTCGTGGATCAATTTCTCGTGCGTATTGCACAGCTCACAAAGTATGGTAGCAGCCGAAACTACATGGACTACCGGTAGCAGACTGATACCCCATTAATTATCGCATACATTACGTAGAGGTCTTTGAATAATAAGTACAAAAATAGCTTCATCTGGATGAAGGACGAAATTTTTCGAATAAAATGATAACATTTTATTTCACGAATACTCTTCAGCAACATGCAGCTTAAAAGTGCGAATGTTATTAGGACATTTCAAAGATAAAAAACCAGCAATCTTGAGTTGTACAACAGTCATTGATGTTGTCTTCATGTAGATAACTTGCAGTGAAATCCACGATATGCGTTTTGTCCTGTTTGGGTCTCATCAGCTGGGTTTGCCTGCACCCCAGCGGGTCTTCTTGTTTCCACTGAAATTCGAGTCCAGTACCCACCACTTCAAACCCCAAAACGATACCTACTACGCCACGAGCGCAAAACCCGCGACTGGTGCAACAGATACCATTTGTTATTCTTTTGATATACTTGTTGTTCTCCGTTGCCATATAGAGTCCAGTTACTCGACCTCATTGTTAATCCATATAACATGTAAGAGAATTAGTTGTAAAGGGATAAGAAATGCAAGCAAAGAACGGCTTCATTCTAGAGTGATTGAACATTATCAATCTGACTAACCTTCCCAAACAATGTAGTCAGTTGAAATGGTGGAGAATATTTGTAGCTCAGGTGGATGTTCTTGGTTCTCTGACTAGTATCACCTCTTTCTGATGTCTGATGTACGTTGTCTGGTACCGTACTGCATGACGCTTTAGTACTTGAAGTTCACTACAGACCTTAGTTTCTCTACATGGATCAGAGTTAAGTGACCATGAGTTACAAAAATTGAGGTTCAGTATTTAATTGGAATACTAAATGCAATCGGTTTGTTAATGTTGAGCCGTGTAGAATGGAAATTTTGATGAAATACAGATGGAGAGTGATCAGAGTCCAGACAGGTACCTCACAAAGGGTGGTGGTCCTAAACACACCCACTCCTCTCTTGGCTGACCACAAAATAATCTGTTTGTGTCTAGAGTTGAGTGGCAAATGAAGGATCCTAGGTTGCACAATGGAGATGGCTGTACTGGAAGATGGTGCTGGCTGGAGGCAAGTTATAATTTCCGAAAGCTGAAGAAGACGTTCCTCATTTTCTGACTTGTAACCAACTTAACCCAATCGGCCACCTGGACTTCTTTTCTCTTAGCCTAGACGCCTGACCCGTGCATTCACGTCCCTAGCTGGCACTACGGCAACTGTCGGAACTACCTGGTGAAGGTTATTCAGTTGGTAGTGGGACTAATTCTTAATTGCATTCAGCCTGCAATCCTCAGAGACCTTGAATGAGATGACGAGGGAACATTGCTTCCCTTGCTAAACACTTCAGACTCCAATCGAACCTTTTGGTCTGGCAGCATTAACGACTGTTGATGGAGATCCAGTCGACTAGTGTAGCTTCTGCTCTTGCGCTTAGTGTAACACTGACACCACATCCTTGTTCATGGTCATTCCATTAAAGTGACTGAGTAACCAGATCAACGTAGAACCTCACACACAATTCCATCGGCTCAAGTCATCACACTTTACAGTGGTATACAAAGAACTGGTGGGTCGAAACAGACTGATATCAAAGTAGACAAAGTTATGTGAAACAATAGACAGTCTGAAGATGAAAATTAGATCGAACATTCAAACTTCAGAAGATGTCAAGAAGTTAATACATCTGCGCCATTGTGACTGACTTTCAGCCATATCACCTCGTGTCTTCGACCACTGAATCCTTTCGTCTCGAAGACCCCAACCACAGTCTACATCTCACACGACGCGGACCAACAGTAAGAGACTTCATCGACTGGTGCCAAGTCTTGGTCTGACCACCCTTAGTCTTCCCCCAACTTAATCCAGCTTCTCCTAGCATGGCACATTGAGGAAGCAGTGACTCGTTATGTGTAATACATGTTTAAGCCATCTCCGTCGATGAAGGTTTAAAACCTCATCAATCAACTTGCCTTTCTTGCCTGAATTCAACAGTGCTCACACGGTGGTTTTAGCGAACGCGAACAGTGCTACGAGGACACATGATCGAAACCCTGTAATTGCTTCGTGTTTTTACTGTTGTAACGGCCATGTCTCATAGCCGTGTAATGGAACAGAACGGACTGCAGCGCAGTATGTTACTTGTTTGATTGATTGACAGATAATCGTGATTTCGAAAGTCATACTCAAGTCTTGATATATATATATATATATATATATATATATATATATATATATATATATATATATATATATATATGAATAATGCAAATCTTTTGTACTGATGTCTGGGTTTTTTTAGTTCACTAATGTTTGTATGAACTGATTTTTTATCCATGGATTGTAAAACAAATACGTTTTGTTTAACTGCATATGTGTATTTATGTAGTACCTTCGCTGCTGAGTATTTGCATAAAATGACTCCTGAGCAACTGAACGCCTATGATGATTTAATCAATTTACCGGATAATGAATGGGATATCTACTATTGGATAACAAGTAAAGTATTGCCATCATGTTTTATACTTTTAATTTATCACCTACTAAAATTCAGACCTCATTGTCAGATAGGCATTTTGAAGTAGCTAATGGGAAGTATTACTTGACACTTGTGTGTTTTTGCTGATCGGTACTTGTCAGCGAACCGTGCTTGAAGCCTTTGTGAAGAGCGAACATGCACACTGACTCTATTATTCATAGTATTTGTAACCGAATTCATATCCACTTTCACTGAGATGTTTAGTCCTCAACTATTTTTGAGTATAATCCACTGAAATATTCATTAATTGTATTATTATTATCATCATTTTGACTGAGATAGTCGTAGTTTGACAGACTGGTATTTATACTGAGTGATGACTGAAGGTGAACCTTGTAGGTCAGTTGGTAGAGCATCGGGTGCGAAACACGATGGTCGCTGGTTCAAATCCGACCATGGTCCATGTTTTCATTCTACCTTCAATCATCACCTTGTATTATTATTTTGCAATTAGATTGAGACCTGGTTTAAATAATGTTAGGTGATAATGTGTCACAGTGTCGAATCCTTGTAACACACATGTATTTCAACAACAATAAAAGCAACGATAAAGATAAATACGGTTGCAAACATAGCACATTCCGAATGCATGTGATATTCTTCGATAATCTGACACTTAATTTATGCTCTATACTTTACCTTTAAGCAGATTATCCTCTACTCATTTGTGGTAGACTTCAGAATGTTTGAAGTGTATTGTGTCACTCAGTTTGAATAGTTGAGTCGACTCATTTATATTACGTCTGGGCAGTGAAAGAAATTAAAGTCAAGTACATGAATCCTTTTGACAGATAGAATTCTTTCAGTCGTGTAGTGTAATCAGTAAGATAAGTGATTGAATATCACAGAGTATTGTACTCGTTTTCGATAGAGTGACTGGTCATAATATAAAGAAGGAATAATGCTAGCTCCTATTTTATGTTCATTGTATCACTCATCTTATAGAAGTACCTGCAATCTTGAAAAAACACTACCCATCTTGACATCAAACATTTTAACTGTCGGTGACCGTCAATTCTGTTTATTACAATGATTATCTTATACGTGAAGTTGTACCCCTATGGCCTAGATTGTTAACTTTCAACCAGCAGATTTATCTGATAGTTCAGCAAACCAGTTTATAAACAATTACTGAGTTGCATTGATTATACTTGCTGTAACACTTTGTTTCATTATTCCTACTACTTAATGTGTTTCATCATTATTTTCTCGCTGCCCTTTGACACTGCTTCCTTACCTCGAAAAAATGAAACTATAGAAGCCAAAGAAGCTCCAGAATATTTCCAAACTGATGTACTACAGCTTCTTCAAGAACACTGTAAAAATAAAAACAATGAACTACGAAATCAACAACCTAATTTATACTGATTTCTGTACAAACGAATAGTTTCCTTCAGGTATGTTTTGCCCAAATAAATTTATATTTCCTTAGCTCAACGTCGTGTTCTTGTTTATAGATAATGCCTGCTGGCTTCAGTCCACAAGTGACAAAGTTAAAGAATAACAACTGAAATGAAATAATGCACAGCTGATCTTAAAAAGTCATTCAGATTTCAAAGACAAAAGCAGACATTAAGTGTATAGCGAATACTGGGTGCTGAGCAAAAGGTTGACATTAGATATAGTTTGTCTCTGTGTAAGTTACGCCATGTTTAAAGAAGCTCAAATCAGACTTCTGTATGAAAGGTTGGGATTATTTCATTTCAAACACGCTGTGACCTACACAAATACAAGCTATACATTAACTGCGTTTAATTGTATTAATAAGAAGTTGTGATATTCGAAATCTTTTTCCATTCAATTCAATCGAATACCTGAGCATTCCACTTGTTCATGGGAAAGGTTTTGATTCAGTCGCCATATGTAAATATTCCAAGTAGGTTAATTCATGATGGATAAACCTCTGGTCTGTACGAATTGTGACTTATTAATAAGATACCATCATGCTCTTTAGCAACTGCTAAAATAGCCAATTAGGTCTCTAAATCTTACGAAAAAACTAATTTTTCAGCTGAAACATGAAACCCTATATGATTATCTCAGTATTTCCTAGGGTGTTCTTCAAAGTACCATGTTTAAATAAGCAGCTGTCGCTGCCCTTACTGTCCCGGTAGTGCAATATTCGATTAATTTACCTACATTGTGATTGGTCTCTCAAGGTCTTTTACGTGTATATTGATTTCGTCCACTATTATTTGACTCTATTCAGTGTTATGTGTGCCTGCGTACTTTTCTGTGTAGTGTTATAAAACAACACAAAAAAAATGCTAGTCCATAGGTTACTAGAGTCGTGTTCGTTGTGAAATTCGACGATTTGCGGTCCTACAAGAAGAAAAGTCCTTAATCGAATGAACAAGTTTTCTATTACGATGTAGCTTTCAGTGGTCGATAGAATGATATTACCGAACTGTGAGGAAAAACCGCTCGAAGTTAGCGGAAGCTTTTACTGCTTTCATAAGCAATCAGCGATTAGCTTAATTAATTATTACACAGCATCCCAGATATGTTCAGTTGTATCTTGTCACGCGAATATAGAAAGTAGTAGTGATTATCATTACTTCCGGATAAGAATTAATCACTTATCAACTTATTTAGGAAGGTGGCGAAAATAATAGCAGACAAAATGGACATTTAAAGAAAGTAAGCAATACAAGAGTTGGCTTAATTGGCTATCTATCCAAAATGTGACATTGAAATGGGGTCAATAAGAAGGGATTGGTGACGGGAAAAGATACGTGTGTTTCTTGAAATGAGCAAATAGGTAACACCTGCTAGGTAGCCAAAATTCGGAGGGTCACCTACTAAGACTTCCGAAAAAGAAACTGAGTTAGTATTTCAGAGCTTTGTAGTTTTGACATCATGAGTTCATAGCTTGAAGGATATTTAGGACCAGTCATACACAATCGTCTTGAAGATAACTTGATGTTGAACACGCTTAATTGTTACGACAGTAAGTGAAACAGTGCCATTTATTCGTTATTGAAAAATACTATTTGGCTGTGATATATCATTTAGATGTATTTAGTATGGAATTGTATTTTACCATACGTTCAAATTCTACTCTTATGTTTCCAAGATATTTTTTAGTTTAGTTTGTATATTATCCTACCGACGACACTGGAACTCTATTTTGTAGTGAGAATTGTGTTATTTCCAGGGTTGGCTTTTTCTAACCTTCTTTTGATAACGAGAAGGCGGCATCGCTTGAAATGCTGGGTGCCTCTTGCTACATTCAGCGGTAAAGCGCCGCCATTGAAACTGGGACTAGTTGCTTTCAACACTCTTGGCTTGGTAAGGCCTTAAGGAGAAAGCACTCTTTTCAGTATGCCTGGGATGATTCATTACACTAGGTAAGCCCAACTATCATAACAAGATAGCACCTACGGTCAAGAAATGATGCACATCTTTACAGACAGAACATAACTGAGCATTGCATATCATCTAGTAACTTTGAATAAGTTAACTTGTCACTAAACACTACCAATGAATATACTAAGTCGTTTTGTGAAATGGAATCTCACAAAGCATAATGGAGAATGCTGCGGATTTCTTAAAACCGCAGTGTTTGATAGTCTTACAATTCTCTAGTAAATCTTCGTAAAATAGTTTATCTAGTAGAAAGAATCAATCCAACCATCAAATCGACCATGTTTGTAAGGTGAATAGTTCCAAATACTCACGAATATAAAACATACTTATAAAGTGCTGAACATTCAATATGGTAAAACATGTTGTAAGTCAGCAATTAAGTTTTTTTGAGCGTTTTTTAAAGGAATAACAGTGGTAGAAAATAAGAAATTAGTGAGTTCAGAATATTCTTGAGCATAACAGAAGGGAATTTCTTTTTAACATGAGGCAACCAATCATATCCCGTTCTTGTTGTTGTTATTATTATCACACAAAATGACAGGAAGATATATAAAGTAAAATAAAAAAAGAAGGTATTTATAATAACACGCAATAGCGCAACATTTTGTTGATCGTAATGGTGACCGATAATTCATAAAACTGATTACAGTTATTCACAGCCTATCTGCAATCAGATGAAGACATTTCTGTGCATGAATACTGGAATTATTCATCCTCTTCCTTTTGTAGTGAACCAAATTATTAACGAGTATCAGCAAATGAAGAGAGAAAACAGCAAGAACAATGACCAGAGGTGATAATTTAGTGCAATAGTTGTTATTTAATGGCATACATTAAAGAAAATATTGATAATCAGTCAGTAACTTTCAAATAATGATTATGTTTAACCACCTTTGAATTCGGGGGAGATAAGTACCTGCATCGCTAAACAGCAGTTATGCTGCACCAAGGAATAAACAGTGTGAGAAAACGACAGTAACAAAGTCAGGTATCAGTATCATAGATTTCCAGTTTGCTTTCGAGAAAGACCAACATTATTCACTGTTAATACCACCTCTTGAAAGTAGTATGCAAGGCCAAAATAGCTATCTAATGGTATCAGCTATTTAAGTTCATGTCGACAGATTTATACTTAAGCTTATTGTGATGGTAAACTACTAACTTGAATAGTAAAAAGAAAAATAAGCCAATTTAAAGATCTTAGAAATCAGATAGCAGCCTACAAAGTTTACTACATGCCAAGCGAACAATCAACTTGAATAGTATGAAAGTGGTTAACTATGAAGTTTTTTAAGAACTTCTGTCAACTTTAATTGGTCAACAGTGGGTAACCAATGAGGCTATCAAGCCCTTAGTGCTTCTGAATGAACAAAGTTCATCGATTAAGTTTCTCAGTTTGACCACAGCTAAGCAAAGTGACACTACGATGCACTGTTGATTGGTATTAGATGATCTGAGTCAATCGGTAGGAAACTCTACACCTAGGTTTCGTACTTCTTAGCATCCACTAGCAAGGCTGTTTGTAGCTATGACAGAACGTGAACTGAAACACTCATATATAAACACTTACAACTAGATAGCTGTATCGGTTAGCTGATGGTGACCTATTCGTGCATGTAATTCAGTACTACAAAGGTGAGCTGTACCCCGAATAGTTTAGTGGTAAAGTCCTTGACTTCAGCACTGAATGACACGATGTCGAACTAATAAAGGGAAAAGGGTTTCCATATAGTTGCAGATACATCAACAACCATGAAATCCAGGTCATGTAAAATTTCTTGTCAACATAGAAATATGAAATGAAGGACATCTAACAGATGTTCTTTTCTTGCATATATATATATATATATATATATATATATATATATATATATTCATGCATATAGTTATTGAGATATTCCAGCTTTTATCTACAAAATGAGCGCTCCTTGAGTCACATCTGCTGTACCTTCATAGTATTCAAAAGCTGTGGCGCACTGGTTTATTAAATATTTTTTTCAATAGAAAATCCACTAGTTTACTGATAGAAAACCCTTCAAATATGCAAAACTTTGAACTGAATGTTCAAAACATTTTTTATGCCAGCAGTTAATTGATACGAAACCCTGAACTTAGGTTTCATGTTTGTTGATACTCATGAGGTGATCGATTGCTGTACAAACCTTAGTCCTTTTTGTAGGAATTCAGTAGTGACCTGAACAGCCTAATGACAAAGTCTCTGACTTCAACACTGAATGACTCAAGTTCAAATATCAAATGGAATCTGAGTTTCCTCGGATTTGTGGATATACCTTGTTATTGATCATTAAAAAGCATCAAACCTACTTCATGCAGGGTTTTCTAGCAATAAACTCCTAATATTTGTTACCGAACTTAATGAACCAAAGTATTGTGTTGCTCAGCTTAGTGTTCTAAGGGTAAACTTGGTCGGTAAATTTCAGATAGTATTGAGCACTCAGGAACTGATGGTTCACCATCTGACTGACAGTTTGTGTACATCTTCGATATTACCAGTCCAAACCCAGATGAATAGAACAATTCAACTATCTTAGTTGAATATATTCAAGTAGGTCACTATAATAGGAATATCGATTTGCAAATTATTTACAAATTGCACGATCTACGTTGACATTTCTCACAGCTGAGTAGTTCCTCAACTGCCCAACTGTGATATCAACAAGGTTTCCGATGGAAACCGTTCAGACGAGATCATATGATGTGACCGCTGACACAAAAGTGTCATGAACTAGCGAAAAATACTACTACTGAACAACTTGAGTAGTTAGAAAAACAACTCAGACTGATCTGTAGTTTTTCCCCAGCCAGATTAAAGTAATGTAAACACCAGATGCCCGTTCAGCTCCTTTGGGGTCGAGATCATCAGCTTTGTACCCGGACAAATTCAGCTCAAAGAGCCTATTGAGGAATGTCAATATGAACCGTTCAATTTGTAAATCATTTGCAAAGTGGTCATCCTATTTCACGAATACCGGTCCATGCAAGTTAGCTAGCCAGATTCAAGTGATTTGAACTGATTCGGCTCTGTGAGCTGAATTTTTCGTGGTAAATAGCTGATGAGCTTGGCCCCAAACGAGCGAAACGACCGTTCGGTGTTAAGACGACTCTGATCTGGCTGGCGAAGTACTACAGATAAGCCTAAGTGGTTTGTAACTACGTAAGTTGTTCATCAGTAGTAACTTTCGCTAAGTCACTGAAATATTTGGGTTTAAATGAACGAAACAGCTTTCGGATTTTGAGGTTAATTTATTCTGGTTGGAGACACTTAATAGGCTGTTAATTACTGAAAAAATTAGCACATGGTAAACGAGTGCACAATTGAGTATCGCACATACTTTCATTTTTACTACCTGACCAATAGAATGTAATATATTCAGGAAGCAAGCACACTACATAAGAGCTGGAAGGTTGTAAATGTGTTGACATCAGATAAAAAATCATCTAGGACAATACTCATACTTGTTTTCTGATCTCTTAGTGCAGGGGTTTGTGCTTAATATATCAGCATTTTGATGTTGTTTACTTGCTGTTGGCCAACAGTAGAATTCAGGATGTGCGTCGCATCCTATTATCTGCTGATCATCGACTTCATGTTTTGGTTTCCGGTGAAACTGAACCGCAGTAACTATCATTCCAAAAACCATAGAGTAAGTAGCTAAGCTATTGAGTTAGAAAAGCTACCTCTTATGCAAAGCCAAAAGGCGTCACTTTTTATTATTTTTTCATGATACTCTTAATTCCCAGCTGTTTATGTTGCGAAGTGATCAAATTCTGAATTCATGTTTCAGTGGTAACGCCAACATGTGCAAATAAATGTAGCTGACGCTTTGAAAACAGAGTAATATGTGTGTCCAGCAGTTCACTGGCATCTTCGGTTAAGCGAACCACGTCAAAACGAAACTCAAGGTAGTATCAACACCTATCTACTAAGAGAGACTGATTCATGCAGTAAAGCGCTTTACAGCTGCAAGTAAATATGTCAGTATTATTTGACGTTACCTTACTTTTTTACTAGTAATCAATGAGGTCTAACTCAAATGATGAACTTATCCTTAATCTGCCTCATCTGGGGCTTCTACGTATGCTGTTCTACCCAACTTGATACGATTTGTTAAATTCAAGTGACCTGATAAATAATCCTACAAGTATGCACTACTGTTTCTCTCAGTAATCACTGATCTCCCCCCTCTCTTATGCTTCATCAGTTGCTTTGAGTTCATCACATGCTTTATGGCTACGCGAAAGTTGTTTTCCGATACGTATTGAAAATGCTTTCAATCTTTCGGAGTCGTTTATCGAAACCATCATTTAAATAAAATTAATACTGGTAACTTAACCTCCAAAGTACTTTCAACGTCAAATACCCCAGAGAAGTACGTCTTGTTGGTAGATTTATAATTAGACAATGACGGATAATCTCGATTGGCACACCGAACTACTCAAATATGGATGGTCACTGAAGATAAAAAGAAGATGAGATCCTGAAAGGTCGTACAAGCTTCTGAATTACTGTCCTACTGTCTAAATAGTGAGAGAATTCGCTGTAATAAGGACACAGAAACATCGTTTATCCCCGTGAGAGTCAGGAAAACAGCCAGTAATCAAATTAAAACGGAGGTCCGGTTAGCCTTTACGTCTTACAGCTTACTTAGTAGGGAAGCTGGTGGGTAGAATTCAGCAGTGAATATGGTTATCTTTAAACATCAGCTACGATAAAGCTGTAAAAAATAACGCATGCAATTTAAACAGCCTAAAGAGGTCTTTAACTGCGATAATAGATGATATGGCCTCAAAAATACAGGGAAAGTTGATTTTCCTCACTATCAGTATTGATTACTAAAAAGCAAAGAATTGTAGTTCCGTCTACCTGCTGACTGACTTTAAAAATCGAAGATAATACTACTTTTCCTCACTAAAGGTGTTTAACAATAGAACTTCTACTTTAAGGAAATAAATATTGCATAATAATAAGATTAATCATGTAGGTGCTATTCTGAACCATCTCTACCCTGGTGCATGAAAAATGGTCCTTTAGACACTCCTCAATCATTGTAGTAAGTCGATAATATGAACTGAAGCAAAAAACTGTTATAGGCAAGCAAACAAACATGCATAAATTAGCGAATTATCTTACCTCAGTTATCGGTGATGGTAAACAACCCCATAACGCGATACTTTGTTTCGATGACCTGATTTCTTTGTCATCTAAAAAAATCACATCTCTTGGGGAATTGATATAGCTGTTATGAATATTACTATCATTATCACCAATGTGACTACTTTTATCTTGATTATCAGTAGTATCATTGACAAGGTTTGTGCTGGTTGAAGAATTTCTATGAATAAGAATTGGAATAAAACAGTTGTCTTCATTACTTTCATGAATGTAATTACTGGTATTATGACTTTTCATCGAACAAAATCGAGTTGATTCATTTTCATCTGTATCGAAATTATTCACTATTTGTTTTTTAATAGTATGATTTTTACTACTGAAATGTGGAACTGTAGTAATAGGCAGTGTCATTTCAGCTTTATCCATATATTTACTGCAACTGACAGTGATATACTTATCATTTTCAACAGAACAACTTGATATATGAGGTATCTCTTTATTGTGATTATGCTGATAGTACGGATGCAGCTGTTGTTGCTGCTGCTGATCATGCGAATAACAAGTAAACTGGCTAGTGGAGTAGCTGGTAAATGTAGGTGAAATTGGATTGAATAGTGAATTTTCTGCTGAGGTTAATTGTTCTATTCTGTTTTTCCTGATGAATTTGTTGTCGGTGTTGCTGTTACCACTACCATCGGTATCAGTGGTATCATTAGTCACCGTGTTATCATTTGTTTTCTTATTACTGATAGTGTTTGAAGGAGTTACCTTGTCAAATTCTTTATTACTATTACTTTGTGTATCAACCATTCCATCCGATAGTATTACTGACGCTGATGATGCATTACATATTGTTTTGTCGTCACTGTCCTGTATTAAAGATTCTGTAGACCGTATACTAGCTGATGCTGTTCTAGTTGGCGGTGGCGCTGGTAATGTTTCTTTGCTTATACTACTTGAACGACGATGAGAACGAGATGAACCTATTGTTTCATGAGATAATTTCTAAAAATGTATCAAAAGACAACCGAAAATCGCAAAATAAAATAAGTTAATACACAAAATATGTACAAGCTGAAAATCATAGTTTAGAACCCCAATAATGATTACCAAGCAGCCAACAAGTCTAGTTGCGTAATAAAAAGACATTTCTTTAGTGAAAATTATAAGTACAAACAACCAATCCTACGTCCAAATACCTGGTAAAAATGATCAACCAATAAGTAAAAAGGATATAGAAGAGAATTATTCCAGTTGAAAAAATCTGTCAATTAGAAAACTTGTCGTCTATGTATTCATGTTGAAAAAAATAGTCACAAAATGAGAATGAAATAGGAAGGTACAAATGATTCAGATAAATGATGTTAGACGACGATCGTGCATTTATAGAATCGTGGAAATTAAAACAATCGAAAATGATCAGTCAGAATAAAGGACACTTAAGGTGGCTTGTAAGATTCACACAAGTTAAATACATACACAGTATTTTCCGAAAATAATTTTACAATTTCCAGGTCTTAAGAGGTTGTGATTGTGAAACTGGTAACCAGTGTATACATCCTAGAAACCTTTGTCACTGTGAAATTCAGCTCATCAACTTTTTAATTGGATATCTCCATTCCCAACTGTGATCTGTTAATTACAGACCGGTTTTAAGATAAAATATGAATTTATTTTTTGAAGTGTGATACGCCGGTGGTGAGAATTTTATACAACGGTCATTTGTGTACTTTCTGAATAAACAGTCCTATTAAAAATTGGATTTGCTATGCCACACATAAACATCCCTTAGTATTCTCTACCCACATAATGTGCATCTGAAATTCTTTGAGCAAGGAGGGTTTGACCAAGGATTGTCCAGCTTGACCAAAAAATGGAAGCGAATGGGTAGGACTAACTGTTCCTACAACCTCAGGATAAGAGTAGGAAATTCAAGGTAAAGAAACAACAGGCATGAAGTCCCAAACTCGCTGACTAAAAACACACTGCTTAACAGGGGTATGAACCAACAGTAGCCCTTTTTGTGTAGCATAAACTTTTAAATCAAATTGAATAGTCACTGTGTATGATTATGACTATCATTATTGCGATCGAATTTGCTTCCCTGTCACGATAATAGGCTTCCGAATTCTAAAATGCTATTTACTTAGTAGTAAACAATAAATCAGTGTTTTTCTGTCTCAGAACTTAAATGTTACAAAAAATTTAGACAAAAAAAGTAGTCCAGTAACTGACATCAAATTTGGCATGATGTGATGACAGCTCATAACCAGTGGTAGCGACGAAACCATCTCTAGTAGATCTGTAAAAGTATTACATCTGATGCATATAAGATAACGTTTCACTGGTTCAATCATATGGTTGGAACAATGCATGATTCATGAATCCATGAACAACTTTTAGAAACGGAAGTTGAGAAGTGATGAAGACTGCAAAACTTGGGAGAATCCAAAAAGCATCAGAAAATTTAACAGCCCTTTTATTATTTCCCATTAGTGGTTGATGATTAAAGACGAAACATGTAACTTTCATTTTTTGACCCCAGTTTTCAGTGTCATTCATTATGTTAATTTCAAGTTAAACATGCAGAAAACCATATCGAACTCAGTTAACAAGGAGTAACGAACTCTTCTAGTTTATGTTTCTTGTTCTCAAACCCTTGTTTGGTTTGACAATGTGTACTTATCAATTCACATGCTACTATTAAGCTGTGCTTGAAGTTGTAAGACAGTCATGCAGAAATCCATTTTAGTTGGTCAGAGGAAATCGATATGAAGCCCTGAAGCTAGGTTTAGTACGTTTTGGCACTCGCTATCAGGGGGTGTCTGAAACCTTGACGGAACTGATGTGTCGCCTGAGATTTGAACCCAGTGTTGCAGTCAGATATGTTATAACCGAGCTATTCAGCCATGAGCAGTCTCCTGTAGGGGTGGGTTAAGTACACTGATTCGTTACTGGTGGCTAACCAACTTCATGTTGTCTAGTCCGAAGTGCTGATCGAATTCTAACGATCATCCTGCAGTGTGGCCACCACGCTAGGAGGATCACCACCGTGATGCACTATGATAGGTGTTTGTTGGATGGAAGCAATCAACAGGAAGTCGTAGTCCTTGGTTTCGTTCATTTTCTAAAGTTACCTGATTTTTTTAATCAAAGAGCAACGACATCAACCACTTGTGAAGACCTAATACAGTCAAATGATTCAGTTCCCTGTAACTCATTGTTGAACGTAATTTACAGACCTGCTCCTTACGTCCGTGTTTTCACTGTTTACACATACTTAAAGTACCAACTGCATTCAAAAATGTTCTTCGCAGTCTCTTCAAACACGTTGGGCCTAATAATAAGGTTCTACACAGGTTAATTCTATTTCCCTTTCGAGGTTTGTGGGTACTGAATAATCTCAAGTTAGTATCCATCACAGATTTACGTCCTTTGAATACCAGGCAGCTGTTTCGTCCTAATAGGGGACGACTCGGCATTGTGCTATCACGATGGATCGAACCTAGGACCATCAGGTATTGTGGTGACCACGTCATCATTCAGACACTGAGTAGGAATCCAATGGGCCACAATTTCTGAATTCTGTCAATCCGTGACACAGCGCAACCATCATCCAACGCTGTTTGTGAGTATTTATGCTCACACTTTGGTTCTCATCATTATCCTTCCTAGTTTTTTTATAGCATCTAACTCATCGCTTACCTCTTCAGAATAATGCTCCTTTTTTTAAAGACTCTTTTTGTATTTGGCTGACTGTAACCAAACCACCAACACTTAAACCGAATGTATTAGTATTAGTACAACCAAGTGGATTTCACTGGTCATAAAAATGAATACACAGTTGTTTCTTATCAACATGAAAAACGCAAACAACATAAATGAAGGTTGACAAAGACTTTGTAGTGACTGCGCGTAAAGAAAGCGAAAAAAGGTGGACATTACGGTGCCATCAGGTTATACCTGGCAATTATTCAGGCTTATCAAAATAACTAAAGTGAAAAAGACACTGTTAAGTAGGAATGTTACGGAAAAGGATGCGCCATTGATAACGTCTAAAAGTAGGTATAAAGAGGTTACAACCTCGCCTGGTTAACTAGTTCACTAGTTACTAGCAGGTCCGAAGCCCCCGTAAAGAGGGAAGGTCGGGCATACGGCTAGCAACCCTACCCCGTAAAACAAATATAACCGCTAAACAAACTTCAAAGCACAAACGATATATAAAAAATAATGACAAAATTATTCCTCTCTGGAATCGGAGAGGCGAAATGATACCAGTTGGTGAAAGCCTGCCTTAGGAAAGCCAATTGGCCGGGCCGATGTGTCTTCTCTCCCTCGATGAAAACGAAAGTAAATGTGGGGACATGGAATGTCCGCACCATGTTTGAACCCAACAAGGCAGCCCAGATTGCAAACGAGATGAGAGGGTATCACATTGAGGTGCTTGGAATTTGCGAAAGCAGATGGAATGGGAGTGGACTCTCCAAACTGTCAACTGGAGAGTCAATAATCTATTCCCATATTGTCACCCAGACGACAACCACGAGCACACTGAGTTCTCGAGTGGCTATCATGATGTCCCCAACAGCATCGATGGACCAATCTCATGCAGTGGGAACCAATCTCCTCCAGGATCATGACAGCAAGATTCATCCCAAAAGGAAGGAAAGTCACAATCATACAATGCTATGCTATGCACCTACAAATAATGCAGATCAAGAGAAGAAAGAGGAATTCTACAGACTTCAATCAACACTCGACAAGACCACACTGCAGTTGGCGATATCAAAATTCTAATGGGTGGGGCGACATGAATGCCAAACTGGGAGGGGACAACACAGGTAGAGAAATAACCATGGGTCGAGAAGCGCTAGGTGGGGTGATGAACGAGGATGGAGAAATGTTTGCAGACTTCTGTGCATTCAACGATTTGGTGGTTGGAGGCAGTGTGTTCAAGCACAAGGATATCCACAAAACGACATGGACTTCACCAGACACCATGACACACTAAAAATCAGATCAATTTTATCCCAATCTCAAGAAAATGGAGACGCAGTCAGCCTACTTGACACAAGGTCAAGAAGTGAAGCAGATGGAGGTTCAGACCACTCATCGTCTAGTGCAAGGAACCTTCAAAATCAAGTAAAAAGCCTTCAAGGAAGCTGGTGATAGACCACAGTTCAAGTACAACACTAGGAAACTGAAGGATGAAACTACAAAGGAGATCTTCACGGTAGCCATCAAGACAAAATGGGAGATATCGAGCAACATCCCCAAAGAAACCTGTGTTGATGAACACTGGAAGTCTTTGAAAGCTATGTGGAAAGAAACCTGCACAGCCGTATTAGGAAGGAAGAAGAAAGAAGTTAAGGAATGGATCTCAACGGATACCTGGAAGCTGATAGTGCAGGGAGAGGAGGATGGTGAAGCAGAAGATAAACCAGTGCAAGGATGCTCAACGACAAGAGGAACTGAGTGCAATGTATAAAACACTACACTGGACAAAGAAGTGAAGAAGAGTGCACGGAAAGACAAAATACACTTCTACGAAACACTGGCAAGTGAAGCAGAACAGGTTGCAGGTAAGAGAGACCTGACAACATTGTATCAAATAACCAGGTTACTATCTAGCAGGGAAGAGATCAACGCAGACGGAACCAATAAAAGATGAAGAAGGAAATTTAATTAGGAAAGAAGAGAAACAGAGTAAACAATGGGCCGAGCACTTCAAGAAACTCTTGAATCGACCACCACCACCACCTGCACTTCGTCCAGAAATACCACCTGCAGCCCAACTACAGAACTACAAGTGAACATAAATCTTCCAACAAAAATGGAAGTCCTGAACGCCATAAAGCTACTGAAATGTGGGAAAGCAGCAGGACCAGATGGGATCCCGCCAGAAGCACTGACAACAGACGCAGAGACAACAGCGGACATGTTCACACCACTATTGCAGAAGGTGTGGAAAGAAGAGACGGTGCCTGGCGATTGGAAGAAGGGTTACCTTGTCAAACTGCCGAAGAACGGAGACCTCAGTGTTTGCAAGAACTGGCGAGGAATCACTCTCCTGTCCACCCAAGGCAAGCAAAATATTAAGCCACATCATCCTGGAGAGGCTAAAGGATGCACTGGATTCAAAACTACGACCGGAACAGGCTGGCTGGTTTCAGGAAGTACAAATCATGTGCAGACCAAATTGCAACGCTTCGCATCATCATAGAACAGAGTATAGAATGGCAGTCAACTCTACACCTCAACTTCATCGACTTTGAGAAGGCCTTTGACAACGTCAACCGATAGGTAATTTGGAAACTGCTTCAATTCTACGGAATACCGCAAACCTTTATCAACCTCATTCAACAACTATATGAAGATGCCACATGACAAGTAATTCACAACAAGAAGCTCAGTGATGCTTTTGAAGTGAAGACAGGAATGAAACAAGGCTGTCTACTATCACCTATGATATTCCTGATTGTGGTCGACTGGATCATGCAACAAACAGTGGGGAGCGAGAAGAGGGGGATACGCTGGCTGGACTGCGGAAAAGAACCTAGAAGATCTGGATTTCGCCAGTGATGACTTGTGCCTGATGTCACACAAACTAGAAGATCTACAGGCGAAAACTAACAAGTTGGTAGAAGAGGCGGCGAAGACGGGACTTCAGGTGAATATGGAGAGGACAGAAGTGATGAAGATACCGCACCAACAACAACAACAAGCTCCAGTCACCATCAATGGGAGAAACTTAAAGGAAGTAACCTCCTTCACCTATCTAGGCAGCACTGTTTCAACTACAGGTGGCACAGACACAGACGATGATGTCAAAGTCAGAATCGGAAAAGCAAGACAGGCCTTCATTAGTCTGAAACCAGTGTGGAGATCTGCACTCAGCATAAAGCGTGAACAAGATCTGGATTTTCAACACCAACGTCAAATCAGTGCTTCTGTATGGTTCAGAGACTTGGCGCGTTACGAAAGAGATTTCCAATAAACTACAGACATTCATCAACAACTGCTTACGCTGGCTCGTTACTGAAGATCAGATGGCCAGAAAGAATTAGCAACAAGGAGCTCTGGGAACGAACCAACCAAGAACCTATCGCTCAACAAATGTGCAGAAGGAAGTGGAGATGGATTGGGCATACACTGAGAAAGCCAACTGTGGACATCACGCGTCAGGCCAGGCCCTCGAGTGGAATCCCCATGGGAAACGACGAGTTGGACGTCCGAGGGTGACCTGGAGGAGATCGTGCGAGGAGGAAATGAGAGGTTGTGGGCTGTCGTGGAGCCAGGTTCGAGAGATTTCAGAGAACAGAGTTCACTGTAGACGTGCTACTGGAGCCCTATGTTCCATTAGGAACCCAAGGGACTAATAATAATAAACAATATAATAATAAAGAGGTTACAGTTTTCGGACGGCAAGTGTCTTTACATTAATCCTCACGTATGGTGAAATCATCGTTCGATCACTGTCATGTTTAAGCTTAGATGAATGCAAATCAGTGGGTGAATTTTCGAAGCTTGACTACTGAAGTGGGGTGAAAACGTGTTGCATAAGCCGAGTCACTGCTCACTTTGACAAGCGATATTAGCCGAAATGGTAATGAGTTGAAAGAAACTAAGAGTGGACAGGCCAAGAAGTGGCACCAGATCATGAAATTTTTGACTCCGTCTAAACCATATAAGGAGGTGTAAACTTCCTGACTAGGGTCATGAAGATAGCAGGAACCATTGGTTGTAGATCCGTGGTGATATGACTTAAAATCAATCATGCTGACGCAGATCTAATCACGATTTGACATAGAATTTTATAACGTTTTAAGTACCCTTCATTTTTTCAATTACCTCTCCTCCTCTAACAGTTTTGTCTACTTTGATACCATTCTTTCCCTACTCACCCGTTCTTTGCATACTCCTGTAAAATGTGACAACTTGAAATGATGCACTTCTGTGTTGGATTTTCTTTTGATTTGTCTTCATAGTAGTCGAAAGGATGTGTTTCCCCACTGATAAATCTTGTTCTGTTGATTAGTCAGTCTTAACAGTAATTATTAACTTGATCGTCTCACTTGTGTGAAACTAATCAATTTAAAGCTAGTTTTGATCATTACCCGAGACTAGCTAGTAGACTGACACAAACCATGGATCGATGATTAATTTTCCACTTTAAATTATTTCTGGTTAAATCAAAGTGGAGCAAACGGTACTCAATTTTTACTGATTGACAAGCCAATCTCAACACATGTTTTATTAATTTTAGGTTGGAATTCATAATGAACTGACATCAGTTGGAGCAACGTTGGGATCCTGGGAGCACTGGACAGCTGATTCGTCCAACTAGTATAGGACTCCTTAACAGTGCGCACCCATGACCCCACCAGGGGTTGAACCCGCGACCTTCAGGTTCCTTGTCCGGCACGTTATCACTGAGTCACTGGGTCGGACTGATGTCAGTCGACGATGAATTCCAACCTAAAATCAACTAATAAACCTCCACAAAATCTCTAGATAGAATTATTCTAGCGCCCAATGGTGAATAGCTTCGAGAGGTGATTCCCTAAATTCCAATGAGAAGTCATGACCAGTGGAGTCAACCAAGTTGAACATGAGGACAGTTATTCAACGACGACATTGGGTGTAGATTGCGCTACATCATAAACTGACAGAAGTAGGGAATGTGGACTATTGTATGAACCAGTTGTCCAGTGCTCTCAGGATCCCATTGTTGTTCCAAGTGATGTCAATTCATGGTGAATTCCAACCTTAAATCAATTGATAAACCTTCAGATTGAAATGTTTTATTAGTTTTGTAAAACCTGTCTATTCATGGTATATGGGTGTTCATCTGAGTTTGAGTTACCAAATACAAATAATCGGATGACACCAAAAACCTAACCTGTAGTTATACCCCTCGATATAGACTCAAACAAGTGTTTTCACTAGTTACAAATAACTTTAAAAAACGAAACTGAAACTTCTCTCTTTCTGGCAAGATGAACTAACGTAGTGTACAATTAAACCGTACACATTAGTCAGTTACAATGTTAACTAAAGGAATAAATTAATCTGGATATCATAAAACTAGTCTGTTCAGTGTTGTTATGCATTAAAAACTAGAATATAAAGTCTGGGATAATTGACTGATTAAACATATAGCAGAAAAAGGTTTCAGTCTTACTTTATTCTTGAGCATCTTTAGTATTTCCCCATTAGTTTCAAACTCCGATGGTACATTGATAATTTGTGCTGGGAAATGATCACATGGATAATAGTTCCTATGAGTAAAAGTAACAGTTTCAAAACAAAAATGAATCTAATTTATTTTCAATACATGATTTTTTTTAAAATGAAGCAATCTAATAGAATTACGTTGAAATATAGCAATTAAATGTAAAACTGATTTGGATGACTGGTTAGAATCTATAGATGTATATCTTCATGCTGTGTTAGTTGTAACAAAGTAAGTGAAACACGGCGTAGTTGTTTCAACGTTTCATCAGTTTAAAACACTTTTGTACTAGAAAGTTCTCAGGTTTAACATTCTATATGGGTGGCTGAAAAAATTTCTCATCTAGGGGGACTGTCAACACAAAACTTGCAGCCTGAAAATCATGTGTAGATTGTTGATTTAAAATTCAAAGAAAATTTCGGCTTGGCTTGAAAAAGATGGAGCAGTGGCTTAATGGCTTAAAGCAGTCAACTTTGATCATTAGGTTCAAAAATGAAGCCATTCCTCATTTCATCAAGATTGGCACCATCGATGTGGTGAAATCAACTTCACCACGCCAAATGTTGTAGCTCATCACCGAATGTACTTACAAGTATTTAGTGGAACGAATTTCAACATTTACTGTGATTAATCCTAACAGGAATGCGAATATCAAAACGAAAAACAAGGTCCCTCTGTTATTAATATTATCATTATTTATCCCTTGGGTTCCTAGTGGAACATAGGGCTGCAGTAGCAAGTCGCCATTTCACTCTCTTCTCCAGTCTTTTCAACTTGGTTCCACGACTGCCTACAAGCTCTCATTTCTTCCTCACACCATCTCCTTCATGTCACCCTCGCCTCGGACGCCCAGCTCGTTTCCCCTTCGGGTTCCACTCGATGGCATGACATGACATGGCATGGCCTGACACGTGATGTCCCAATATGGTCTTTCCAGCGTATGTCCAATCCAATCCATCTCCACTTCCTTCTGCATATTTATTAGGCAATACATTCTTGTTTGGTTGGTTGGTTCGTTGCCGGCCGGCCAGCCAGCCAGCCAGAGTTCCTTGTTGCTTATTCTGACTATTCTGTCCATCTGATCTGCTCTTCAGTATCGAGTGGGCGTAGGCAGCAGCTGTTGATTTATGTATGTCTGTAGTTTGTTGGAAATGCTTTTTGTGACGCGCCAAGTCTCTCAACCATCACATAGAAGCACTGACTTGATTGACTTAGTGTTGAAAATCCGAATCTTGTTCACACTTTGTGCTGAGTGCAGTTCAATGCAGTAGATCTCCACACTGATTTCAGATTGGTGAAGACCTGTCTTGCTGTCTTTCCGATCCTGACTTTGACATGCTCATCATGCCGACGCCGCCTGCAGTTGAGAGGATGCTGCCTAGGTAGAGAGGTAGGTGAACGAGACTCTTTCCTTTAGATTTCTCCCGTTGATGGTGATTGGTGCTTGTTGTTGTTGTTGTTGGTTGGGTATCTCCATCACCTCTGTCTTCTTTACGTTGAGCTGAAGTGAGTCCCGTCTTCGTTGCCTTGCCTCTCCTGTCAACTCGTTTGTTTTCCGCTGTAGATCTTCAAGTTTGTGCGAAATTAGACATAAGTCATCATCAGCGAGATCCAAATCTTCGAGGATCTTTTCATTGTTCCAGCGTATGCCTATCTTCTTGCTCCTAACGGTTTGCTGCATGATCCAGTCTACCACAATCAGGTCCCTCTACTAAATAATAATTTCTTTGTATCTGCAAGGTATACAGTTACGTGGAAAGATGTGATCATTCAAGGTGCACAGTACATCGGTTTACTTCATCTTAATCTATCCAAGAATGTTCGTTATATACAATGAGAAATTATTCACTGGAATCCTTTGGTTATTCACACTTTAACTGTTAATTCAAAAGTCATTCTCATAAAACCCTGAAGTCTATTCATAATCAGCATATTGTCAAGCAAATATGATCAGAATGAACACGAAATTGTTGTGAAAAAATAAAGGATGAATTAGCAATACGGAAGTAACTTTTTATTTGATCTTCCAGCGAACACAAGGAGTGGATGTAATCGCATTCACCTAGATTGAATTCAAAGCAAATTTATTAACATTCCTAAATTTTGTTTAATCGGATTGTACAAAATAAAACTTGTAAATTTCCTCTCTGAACAATACTCAGGTGTACAAAACACTAATACTTATTATGCACATCGTCTCTTTCATAACATACTAGGAAAGCTTATCTGTAACTTTCAGGAAAATGATTTATTACATGTAGTGTAAAACTTCATCATCCAGCGGTACTACACTGCCAAATCTGCTTCTACACTGAGATAAACAGCTAGTCAGTAATTATTAAAGAGTAAACTAGACAAAAACTTCGTCTTGTTTATGAATCAGTCATTTAATAATGGTCAACGTTTTGTCCTAATAATTAGTGAAAATTCATCTTATTGAAGAGCCATGTGTCATCAACAAAAATCGAGCCTAAGACCGTGCTGTTATGCTTGCAAACTGCTGAGTAGTCCTAAACTTGGAAGAAACAGCTTTCTAGTGCACTCAGGTTCTCAATGATTTTTTATTTGATATCAACCTAATATGAATCCTATCGTGAATCAATCAGTTCCTACGAAGTATCAATTGAAAACATATTATCTTCCAGCTGACTTTTCAAGTCACATTAATCTCTCCTTAACAATCTCTGAAAAGGTGGTGTTCGGTAATTAATGCAATCAAAAATTATAATTCATAGTTGTTGAGGTGTTTTTCTGCATATCTTAATAAACTAAACTAAATTAGTCAATCAGATTAAAATTTCTCCTGTGTAATGCTTGAATTTTTACTACAGTTAATCCTCCAAGCATCATCAAAAACAACATTATGTACTCTAATTACAAAGTAAACATAACCGACTATATTGCAATACTATAACATTTGCATCAATACACATATGTCAAGTGAAGTAGAATAAATACAATATTATTTTAGTAAAGCAAGAATAACAAGTTTTGCAGAATACAATGAGTTCATAATATTTCTTCTACATTTCGACTGCGTACAAGTTAAAAATACAGGATATAAACAGGTTGACGCAATCCGAATGCATTAAAGCCTGGTAAGAAAATAATTGATTGATGAAAAAAATAGAAGCTAATGGTACACATAGAAAAGTTCCAATATATAACCAATTTAATAGTTTTTATCAGGAAAATAAAAATATCATAAGATGAGCACTGAGAGACAAACCATACAAAGCAATAAAGTACCATTATGAAAAGACAGGAAAAAAAAGGAGAGAATGGAAACAAAATAGGAGAACTCATTTTCTAATCAGCAGTCCCAAAGATATAAAAAGGGAAGCATTCACTACTTCAGTTTCATTTCTCAGCTATGGAAGAAAGTAGAGAGTTGTAGTGAGATCATCAGTGGTTTTGATTCTGAGATATGTCTGTTGTTGACTCAAGTCACTGAGTTGCAGGAAGTATTCAGGGAGTCAGTCGTGTGGCCCTTATAGATGTTAACCAAAACACAACAACTCTTAACTGCACAGCACCACGACAAATTACCTAAAGATATCAACTGGGAATTAATGAGTCCTTTGAATGACCAATTATTGTGAGATTGATTCACAAAGGTTATAACTTTGTCAATGAAGTGACCATTTATTTGAAGATAGTTTTTACGATCAATAATATCACCTTGTGGGTCATCCACGGCCAAGAAGCAGAGAATAATCAACTCACTTTAGTTAGCGGCTTCAACGCAATGTACAACCATGCGTTTACATGAGATCAAGTTCATCACATTCAGCTCTTGAATAGACAATGTTACCATTTAACAAAAGGATTAAAACCCGCTAATTCATATTTTTTAATTTCAATTAATTCACGTCATAATTTTATCTGACTAAAGTCAAGATTATGGAAAATGAAATAAAGCAGTCTAAGACCACTTTCATTGACTGGTAGTTTTTGCTGCCTATAGGTAGGAAACTCAACCTAAGGCTTATGCATTCATCAATAAGACTTATCTGAAAATGTCAAAGAAACCCTTACAACGCCGAAATCACAGGTTTTGTGATTGAACTATTCAAGTTAGCGATATAGTATACATGAGAATTCGTGAAACTGTACAGTTGCTGAGGTCTAAGTAGCTGAAGTAGCTTTCAAATTTGTTATCTATTGACTACGACCAGTTTTTGTCCACATGTGCAATTCACACGAATCAGTCTTTGTAAGACTAATAATGTCTTACTGTATTCCTCAGCGTTGACTGAATTCTTTAGACAACTAAAACAATTTTCTAAACCAAAGCCATATTGAACAGTGAACAAGATGTTCTCCGTTTCACAACCACTCAGATAGGTAATCTCACAATCGATAAGATCCAGTCAGTGTTGAAAAATGCAACTTGACATCTATATTCATTTAATTCGTTTCTCTATATTTTATTTACATCAAGCAATTTTCTTTGCAATGTAGAATATAGTATTTAACTACTGAAGTGTACCACAATAAAAATCTAATATAAACACTGAATAACTTTTATTTCAATCAATAATTTGGTTGCCATCGATGATGTCTTCAAGAAAACTCTGAAGGATGTGTGTGGGTCTGTAGAGATCTTGACTAAGCTGATGGTATTGTTTCACTGTGCGACAACCTATTTAAATCTCAGTCGATAAATGTCCGTAAGTACGGCACCTCGCGCCTTCAAAGCGGAAAGTACTTCTACGAAATTGGTAGGAGCCTATATCTGTACTCACTCTTAGTGGTGAACTGTCGGAGTTCTTCAGAAAGCTCGTTTACCTAGTTGGTTGAGTGAATGCTGATGGTACGAATGATGAGATTTCCAATCTTATTCCGAAAGCCACAGTGGTGGTATATGCCAATCTGAGTCACCTTTGGTACTATTGTGATGTCAACCTTGATATAATGCGGTATCTGTCAGATTTGCTCGTACCCTGTCCAAACACGATGTACGTAATTCTGAGGCGAGACAAAGTATATTTGAGTGTGATGGAAGTCGCCAATTATTGAGTGTGATCATCTTGAAGCAATGTCTTCCATGACTTGGATATGTGTTAGGTATATCATCTCAAGGAGTCTCGGTTGGAAGGACCAGAGAGGTGGCCAGTGTAAAACTTGGTGCCTTGGAGAAAAGAATAGTTATGGTGGGTTAACACCTATAGGGGGCCACACGACTGACTCCCTGAATACTTCCTGCAACTCAGTGACTTGAGTCAACAACAGACATATCTCAGAATCAAAACCACTGATGATCTCACTACAACTCTCTACTTTCTTCCATAGCTGAGAAATGAAACTGAAGTAGTGAATGCTTCCCTTTTTATATCTTTGGGACTGCTGATTAGAAAATGCGTTCTCCTATTTTGTTTCAATTCTCTCCTTTTTTTTCCTGTCTTTTCATAATGGTACTTTATTGCTTTGTATGGTTCGTCTCTTAGTGCTCATTCTGTACAAGGCTTTTGCGTTAAATAAATAAACAATATGCTTTTAGGTAACATTATCTATTCATACAAGTTTCTTGTGTTTTCCTTTGCACACACCACCTTATTTTCTGAATTCCACGCATCTAATTTTTAGGCAGTGTGAATTACTAGACTATTTTTTATCTTATATGTAGCACGTTTAGAGTATGCAGAATATATTTTTTACGCTATCTACCTGCGGCTCTCTTAGTGTATTACCAAGGGATATGTGGCGTTGTTGCTCTGGACAACTGCCGTTTATTTTAACAGTTAGGTTATAAATTCGAGTCTCTAACTTTCATACCAACTGTAGCCTCACCACTCACCCACCTAATCTATCAAGGTCATTAAAAATACATTAATTCAATCCTTAACCAGAAACCAAAAGCAACAACGACAATATTAACAACTTTCAAGATTGTCACTTATGCATACCTAGGCATCATCCGACCTGTTGATGCACTTCTATACTTCAAACTTCCACCACAGTCTTTATCAGTTGTCATGATACTTGAAGCCCTCCATTTAGTTGCATTGGTAGCATTCTCCATAGACATCAATGATTTAGAATGAGACTCATTCAGTGCTCTTGCAGCACATTCATGCAATTTGTTCACTTCTTCGAATAAACAATTTAACACCTAAAAAAAGAGAAACAATGTGGGAAATTTCGACGGTTCATTGGCAGTCTTGGGAAAAAGAAAGGCCTGAAGCGAAGCATTTGGTAAACTAACATATAAATACCGGTATCCGTGTTATTTCTCGTGAAAATATTTCAAGCACTAAAAACAGTATGGGTAACGACATTATAAAGGTCTAACATGCATAAACCCAATCAATCAGAGGGGAGGCTTCAAGTGTACCTTCATTTACCGTAGCCATAGCCATCGGCAGAATATTTATGTTGAAACGGATAGTAGTACGTCTCAAGGAATGAGTTTTTTTTTAAATCTCATTACTCCATTCAAACGTCTTTGAACTTGTATTTTAATGATTTCAAGATGGCATTCATCATGGACTAGCTTCAGTTGGACAGCTGTTTCGTCTCACTAAGAGATTCCTTACAAGTTCCCATCGACACCCTCACCGAGGATCGAACCTAGGACCCTCAGGTTTTTTATTGTTATTATAACTAAAATTCTGCAACTGTTATTGTTAGTATAGTAGCTCATCTCACTCAATGATTATTTTGACACACATCGATTCTCATAATCAAGTAACCACCCTACAAAATATCTCTACTTCTCTCAACCATTGCAGGATATTCATCTCTTTGCCTTGTAATTCTATTGGTGGTTTTCAGCGATTACTTGATTTCGAGGTACTATTTGTTACAGAATGAAATCATTTGGATAACTATTAAGAAACTGCGATCACTGGATAGTTATATCATCTTATTTGCGATTCCATTACAGGATGAGCTTACAACCTTATGTGTGGTCAAAATAAGGACGGTTGTCTCTAAGCGAGCAAGTAACCGCCAAATTATCGAGAAGGTATACAACTGACGATATAGAGCGGCCACTACTCAATACCGTCAACTAATAACTGACCACGATGAACCTCTCGAAGTCCTATTTGGAAGCTGTGATCCGTGAAGTCAGTCAAGGCGGGGGTGAGAACAATTTCTCACCTATGGCCCTAGATGATCGTTGTTCTTTGCCGTGAATTGGCAGAAGTCACAAAACATGAACTATTGTTTTCGGGCTCACTGGCTCATCGGTAACCTACTCACCACAAGATTCAGTGATCCTGCATTCTATCCTTTCAGGGGTTGTGGGCGTGTATTACTGAAGAGTGTAATACTAAATCGAAAAAGTTGTTCAATGCACTCAGATTTTAAGGATTTTCCAAATAACACCAGTGGATAATGAATACTTCTTTAAAATGTGTGTCTGTTTCGAATAAGCTCGTAAGTGAATACATTATTTTGCATCCCTAAGGTTAACAAAAGTTGTTTGACTGAAGCGGAACTATTTTTATTGAAACTGAAATATTCACTATAGATTTCGTTTTCACACTTCATAGCTGAAATCTGAATGATAGTTTAAGCTGAGGGGAAGACAAAGTTTCTGCTGGTTTTAAAAATATATATATCTTTAGCTTGCCAGTAAAACATTTTTTATGCGAAACACAGATCGACGGACTATACTTTAAATTGATGGATGCATTTAAAGCTACTAAGGCTATGAGATATAAGCAACCAGATACCAATTTAATATTTGTCAACTGGTATGATGACGCTACATGATAAGTGATTCATAATGGAAAGCTCAGTGATATCTTTGAAGTGAAGACAGTAGTAAGACGAGGTTGCCACCTACTATCACCGATCATCTTCCTGATTGTGGTCGACTTGACTGGATCATGCAACAAACAACTGCGAAGAGCGAGAAGATGGGCATACGCTGGCTCGACCAATAAAAAGAGACTACACGATTTGGATTTCGCCGATCATGATTTACGTCTAATGTCTTGCAGCACAAACTAGAAGATCTACAGGCAAAAACCAACACGTTGACTGGAGAGGCAAGGCAGCGAAGACGAGACTCACTTCAGCTCAACGTAGAGAAGACAGAGGTGATGGAGATACCCAACCAACAACAACAACAACAAGCACCAATCACCATCAACGGGAGAAATCTAAAGGAAAGAGTCTCGTTCACCTACCTCTCTACCTAGGCAGCATCCTCTCAACTGCAGGCGGCGTCGGCATGATGAGCATGTCAAAGTCAGGATCGGAAAGACAACAAGACAGGTCTTCACCAATCTGAAATCAGTGTGGAGATCTACTGCACTGAACTGCACTCAGCACAAAGTGTGAACAAGATTCGGATTTTCAACACTAAGTCAATCAAGTCAGTGCTTCTATGTGATGGTTGAGAGACTTGGCGCGTCACAAAAAGCATTTCCAACAAACTACAGACATACATAAATCAACAGCTGCTGCCTACGCCCACTCGATACTGAAGAGCAGATCAGATGGACAGAATAGTCAGAATAAGCAACAAGGAACTCTGGCTGGCTGGCTGGCCGGCCGGCAACGAACCAACCAACCAAACAAGAATGTATTGCCTAATAAATATGCAGAGGGAAGTGGAGATGGATTGGATTGGACATACGCTGGAAAGACCATATTGGGACATCACGTGTCAGGCCATGCCATCGAGTGGAACCCGAAGGGGAAACGAGCTGGGCGTCCGAGGCGAGGGTGACATGAAGGAGATGGTGTGAGGAAGAAATGAGAGCTTGTAGGCAGTCGTGGAACCAAGTTGAAAAGACTGGAGAAGAGAGTGAAATGGCGACTTGCTACTGCAGCCCTATGTTCCACTAGGAACCCAAGGGACATATAATAATAAACGATGACTACCGAAAATAAGTTCGCATTTCGTCATGTAATCTGTCCCTGAAAGCTGCTTTGCTGCAATCCGAAATGCGTGAAATTAGATAAGTAGAGTAACTTGAGAGTTCTTAACTAAATCATTCCAGACACCCCCTTTATTAAGAAAAACATTCATGATGGAAGACGGATAATCCAGACGCTATATTCACAGACATACTTAAATGTGTAATGCATACATGACCATGTCCGAGTGAAGAATCACTGAAGTTTATATAGAGCTGAACATCCATTTCATCTCACTTGGGATCCTTCGGTACACTCACAAACCATTCTAGGATTAAATTATAGCCATTACCGATGTTGGTGACTAGAAAAGTAATCTAGAACGCGCGTTTTGTCTCATTTGGGACTCGCCAGCTACATGTACCTGCACCACAATGAGTGGTGTTATTCCCAATGAGACTCAAACGCAGTACCCACCGCTTCAAACACCGAAGCGCTATGCACCACGCCACTGGGGGACGATAGCCACCTTTTGGGCAACGGTTATCAGCAACTGTTATGATACTTGTAATTTCGCTTTGCTATATAGGGCCAAATTACTCGAACTTAGTAGGAACAACACTCGCTGAAGTCCAGTTACATTCAGGTGACGAGTCCCAAATAGGACGAAACGCGCGTCCTGGATTCCTCTGCTGGTCACCAAGATCAAAATAATATCATGAATATCCAGCGGTATCGAGGCATCCGCATGGATCCTGTATATCAACGGAACAAGTATCATAACAACTATGACCACTACCATTAAGTCATCATGATACAATTGAATGATCAGTGCTTTAACCTTTGATCAATTGATATCTTAGTACCCGAAATATCAGTGGTAAGTAACTTCATTCCCAACATCAGAAACATCATAAGTCACTGTTATCTACCGAGTTGATTGGAAATTTACCGTCCAAATGAGGTTTTCTCCATTATTAATGGAATATTTTTCAATTCCGCTACGAATATAAAACTCATATTCATGATGGAAAAGTGTAATCTGTTGGCTACAGGTATCGATTATTGTATAGACCGTTAGAATACCACGACATGTTGCATTGGATTAAGTGACGATTCCACTTAACTGAGCCTAGGAGATACACCAAATATTATGGACTCCAGCAAAAGTGCACATTTTGCCTATCATTCGGCATAATTTCGTGATATATTCAGTGATTTTGGAAGGTGTTACCGATAAGGATTTTTCGAGAATACTGTAGTGCGCGTTGCTGATAACAACGGAGTAGTAGTATATATCGAGAGGGTGGCAGGAAACACAGGGAATTACCGACAATGGGTAAGGTTTCTGCCAAGAGCAACGCAGGGGACAACGCAGGCGTATTACAGGGGATGCTGCTGATTGGAGTGTATGAAGAGCTGTTCAAGAGCAAATTGAGACAGGAACGGAGAGGAAACGAAAACATTTGCAAATGGCTGCGTTAGTGCAAGAGTACCATATGTAACCACTACCATTCTAGTTATTCGTAACATACATTCTCTCGGCGAGTTGTCTTCTGTTTCTTCAATACAACAACACAGACTTCCTGAACAACAAGAGAACAGGTTCTTGATAGCTTTTTGGCAGGAGTAGTGATGATGATGAACTTCCAGGCAGATTATTAGACAATTAGCAGTGAAACACATTCCGTAGTAAGTTTTATAAATCTCTCAGCAATTCTTCAAATAAAGTTGTGAGATAATAATAATAAAGATTATTAATGTAAATATTGTTTATCGATTGAGTGCATAACTACTTGGTTAAAAACAATGTGTAAATGCAAACAAAAAACGGTACATGGTGAAAGTAAGTCTAAATTGATACGAAAAAATGTCGACAGGAATTTTTTTCATATGAAGCCTATATACAGTTCAGTGGTACGTTTGAGATATATTTTACGCAGAGCAGAACTCAGGAATTATGTAAGTTTTTACAGTAACTGGGCTGTAAGATATACTACTGAGATGAAGGTTAACAATACTACTTCGCTGACTATGCAATGAATTTAGTTGAGTAGTTATAAGCCCCACGACCCCTTGGATGCTTCTCGAGAGATCATGCAACTTGATGACTATTCAACAGCTGGTCTGCCTCAAAATCAAAACCAGTACCGAACACGCTACAGTAAAACGAAAGTAGTGAATGCTTCTCTGTATGCATCCTTGAGACTGCTGATTAGAAAACGCATTCCTGTTTTTGCTTCCACTCTCTGCCCTGTTTCTTGCATTTCAATATTATGGCTTTACTCTGGATGT